CTTAAGTGGAGAGCAAATGTTTTGAGAATGAAGAGGGCAATGAATGTACAAATGTGCTTTACACAATTGATATGTGTAGATTGTGATGAGTTGTATGACCCCCTAATAAAATGATTTTTTTTTTAAAGAGGCTTTGATTCTGTAAGAAAGTGCTATCAGGTTGAGAGAGAGACAAATGCCAGCCATCCTATAAGACGAATCTTTAATGTGGTGAAAAAATGTGAAATTATTCACTACAGATTAGTATATAAACACAAGTAAGCTTATGATTACCTTCCTTACAGGGCAATCCAACACTGCTCCTAACATATCAGGGTCTTCAAACTGCTCGTGGGAAAATGGAAATAAAAGATAATGGAATTTTTCCAATAACTTTTTGAACCTCCTTGTACCTCTAAACAGTTTCCCTTAAGGAGCAAACTAACTGTAAAACCATTAAGTGGGGAGTTAAGTGACTTCAAGGTCAATCACTTCTAAGTCAAAGATGAACTAAGAATATCATTTTTTCATACCAAGACCAATGCAACATCTACAACTCTATACACTTACATAAGATGGCAACTTACTTCCATATTTAGTGGTTAAAGGGCTAGTCCAAACCTTCTGCCCTGGAACTTAGTCACAATAATTAAAGATTAAGTATCACATTATCTAGTATTTCTGCTACAAAATACTTACAGAAATGTCAGTTGCTGCATCCAATCGCAACTCATCAGTGTCCATGAGATAACCAAGTTCAGCAAACAGGGCAGAATCTTTAGTTGAAACAAAAAAATAGAGATCAATCATCAACTCAATGATTTCACAACAGAATCAATATTGTATCTCTATGCCAGTTCCATTAGAATGCCATCCTAGGTATTACTACTACTGATAAATTCTTCACAATGTACATGATAACCAAGCCACAGTCAATTTCTAATTTATATATTGTTTTCCACAAAACAATATATTATCTTGTAAACTGAACCTTTTCATGTCATATAACATCTTTGACTAATGGTAGCAACTTTCTAGAACATTTCTAACATTCTGAGGATGTCTGACTTCAGCAATGGCGAAGATACATGTGCTGAGTATTTGCCATCTATGCCTTATATTTTATTATGTTATATTAATGGTAATTATTATATTAAGGGTATAATTTTCTATCTAAACAACAAAGGATTCCCTCATTCTCTATATTACAGTAAATTTAACCATTCTCTATATTATACTAAATTTAACCATATTCCAGCTTCCTATTGAAGTTTCTTTATAAAATAAGAAATATAAAATATATGGACACAGAAAATATTCCTCAATAGATTTGATAGAAAAAAAATTTAAGAATCAACTTGGTGATATTGTTTAAAAATGCCAATGGTCTAGATAAAGACATGTACACATGAAAATATATTTGTATATGAGGATGGGGAAATAGATCTATGTGCCTATATTTATAGGTTTAGTATTAAGGTAGCAGAGGGACATTGGGCCTCCACTCAAGTGCTCCCTCAATGCAAGAATACTTTCTTCTATTAAATTGGCATTCTATGATGCTCACCTTCCCGACACAACCGCTGAAGACGAAGACAAAGCGAGTGAATAAGCAAATGTGAAGAAAGCTGATGATGCCCGGCTATCAAAAGATATAGCATCTGGGGTCTTAAAAGCTTGAAGGAAAACAAGCGGCCATCTAGCTCAGAAGCAACAAAGCCCACATGGAACAACATATCAGCCTGTGTGATCACGAGGTGTCGAAGGGATCACTGAAGACAAATGGGTGCATAAGCAAAAGTGGCAAATAAAGCTGATGCTGCCCGGCTATCAAAAATACAGCGTCTGGGGTTTTAAAGGCTTGAAGGTAAACAAGCGGCCATCAAGCTCAGAAGCAACAAAGCCCACATGGAAGAAGCACACCAGCCTATGCGATCACGAGAAGTCGAAGGGATCAGGTATCAGGCATCATCAGAACAAAAAATCTTACCATAGTGAATGATGGGGGGAGTGCGGAGTGGAGACCCAAAGCCCATTTGTAGGCCAATGAAGATCCCCTTGCAGAGGAATCTCGGGGAGGAGACGAGCCAGTCAGGGTGCGATGTAGCAATGATGAAAAATACAACTTTCCTCTGGTTCCTAAATGCTTCCTCCCCACCCCCACTATCATGAGCCAAATTCTATCTTGCAAGTCTGGCTAGACCAGAGGATGTACACTGGTACAGATAGGAACTGGAAACACAGGGAATCCAAGGCGGATGATCCCTTCAGGACCAGTGGTGTGAGTGGCAATACTGGGAGGGTAGAGGGAGAGTGGGTTGGAAAGAGGGAACCGATTACAAGGAACTATGTGACCCCCTCCCTGGGGGACGGACAACAGAAACGTGGGTGAAGGGGGATGTCAGACAGGGCAAGATATGATGAAATAATAATTTATAAATTATCAAGGGCTCATGAGGGCAGGGGGAGGGGAAAAATGAGGAGCTGATGCCAGGGGCTTAAGTGGAGAGCAATGTTTTGAGAGTGATGAAGGCAATGATTGTACAAATGTGCTTTACACAATTGATGTATGTATGGATTGTGATAAGAGTTGTATAAGCCCCTAATAAAATGATTTTAAAAAATGCCAATGACTATAAATCTGTAGGTTCTCTTTTTTTTAACATACTGCTCAAACTGTTTTGGTGATGTCCATATTTCATGTGTCTACAAACTACTACATCAGTCATGAACAAATACAACTCAGTAATTTCAAGCAAAAGTTCATAGCAAAAAAAAACAAACATTAATACATCACTAATGGCAGACTATTACAACTCAGAAAACGACTACCTTAAATTCAGCAGGCAGGCTGACAAGCACGGCCAGTAGATGGCAGTAGCTACATATTTTATTTATAAACTGAACCTCTTGAAAGAATTTCTGTAGGGGCTACTTCCTATCTCTGCTCCCGTACTTCCTAGAGCCTATTTCAATCCAGCTCCCCAGACAGACAGACAGACAGACAGACAAACAACTCTGTATCAGTGTCACCAAGAGCCTCCTCACTGTTCAATACAACGGCAATTCTCAGTCTCAACTTAGCTGATGCGTCAGCAGCACTGACACTGCAGATTCTTTTCTTCACTTGAGTGCAAATGCCACTCTTTCATTTTCCTCCTATCTTACTCTAACTTAAGAATCCCACATCTAGAAAGGTACCTTCACAAACTGCAACAACATATAGACAATCTTCACTGCTGTGTGATTATTTATAAGAGCAAAGTGTTGAAAACAACCTCAATGCCCATTCACAAAGAGGTTGATTAAATAAATTATTAAACATCCAGTAAGATGAGTGAGGAAGAGCTCTAGGAGTTGATATGGAGGGAATGCAAGTTACAATGTAAAATGAATGGAGTATAGGTGAAAATAGTACAAGAATATGTGATAGATCATATGCTAGATTTTGCATAATAAAAGAAAAATATCAATACTTATTTGTTTGTACAAAAAGAAACACAAGAAAGATAAGCCAGAGATTAATAAATAATTACCTTAAGGGGGATATGTTGGGTGGAGGAGTTGGGAATAAAATTGAAACTTCCAAGTATTGTTTTAATTTTTATTTTTTTTACTTTTGAGCCATATCACTGTTTTATGTGTTCCAAAAAAAATTATAAGCAAGTGCTAATGTTTAATACAAACAAAAACAAATTATACTACCTGCATCTCAAAAAAAAAGTTAATTTAAGAAACCCCAAACCCCAAACCCAAACTCATTGCCATAGAATCAATTCCAACTCATAGGGCAGGGTAGAATGGCCCCTGTGGTTTTCTGAGACTGGAACTCTTTAGGGAAGTAGAGAGCCCCAAATCTCTCCCTCTGTGTGGTCGGTGGTTTTGAACTGCTGACCTTGCATCTAGCAGCCCAATGTTCCTTAAGAAACACAATATCGAGGACCTAATCCCGGGGGTTTAAGTGGAGAGGAAATGTTTTGAGAATGATGAGGGCAATGAATGTACAAATGCGCTTTACACAATTGATGTGTGTATGGAGTGTGGTAAGAGCTGTATGAGCCCCTAATAAAATGATTAAAAAACAAAAAAAAGAAACACAGTTCGGTCAACAGACTTTGAACTATTTACAGGCTTTTATTTGTCATTGGTATTTTGTTGTTGTTGTTTGTTTTCTTCTGTGAATGGTCTCTTCGGTTGTGTATGTTGGTGTGGGAAGGGTAGGGGGTTGGAATGATGTTGAAAGCTTGAAACGTTTTGTAAGACAATCAAAGTCAGAGGACCAGGGCAACACGAAGGGGCAGGCAACACTAAAAGGCCTATTTCAGATTAACACTAAGACTTTACTGCGAGACTATAAGGTTGCTGTGAGTCGGCATCAACGCGATATCAGTGAGTTTGATTTTGGAGTTTGGTTAGTCAGCATGGTTGAGTTGTTTTGTTTTTCCAGTCACATTCAGCTACATGAGGGTAGGCAGCGCATTTCATCTAGTGAGAGCTGCTTGTGCAGTGGTTAAAGCACTTGGCTGCTAACCCAAAGATCAGTGGTTTGAAACCACCAACTGCTCCACAGGAAAACGATGTGGCAGTCTGCTTCTGTAAATATTACAACCTAGCATACTTATAGGACAGTTCTATCCTGTGCTATAAGGTTGGAATGAGCTAGAAACCCACAGTACGTAGTGGGTTTGGTTTTAGGTTTGGATCATTCATCCAAAAGAGAATCGCAAAGTAAGTGAGGAAGGAGGACACTGAGGGTGTGCAAGGATACGATTGCGATGATCACACATGAAATACTGGCAGTGGGGGTTGGGCACTGCTAAATGGAAGGTCAGCAGTTCAAACCCACCAGCTTCTCAAGGGAGAAATATGAAGCTATTGCTTCCATAAAGATTTACAATTTCAGAATTCAGAGGGTCACTCTGAATTAAAATTGACTTGATGGCAATAGGTTTGGATGTGGGTTTAAGGGGTGGTAGGGTTGAAGGGCTGTTGGAATTGGAGTACAAAAGAATGGAAACTTGTAAAATAGGAGGTAGTCGTCAGAGTGGGATGTCTGGAACAGAGATTATGCTAGTGGTAATGACAAGGTGTAGAGTCATGATTAGGAGAATAAATGGCTTAGACAAGGTATAGGGCAAGATCAGTGGTGTAAAAGAGCTCCAAGAAATGTGAGATCAGGGTACGGGAAGGATCGTGCAAAAATGCAACAGAAATAACACTAGAGACTATGACAGTAAACTAGGAGATAAAAATTTCAAACAAAGAGGGAATGTCCCTGGGATTGGCAGATGACTACAGCAGGGAGAAGGGGTAGAGTCTGACTCTGGTAGAGTTTAAGTGTGAAGTTTAATCCTGGGTGTTTAAAGGAGGAGAAGGAGAAGGAGGAACTCAGCAGTTAAAGCACTGGGGCGCTGAAGGAAAGGTCTGCTATCAGAAGCCATGCCACCCTCCAGCAGTCTGCGTTCATAAAGACTTCAGCCTTGGAAACACTGTGTGGAAGTTCCACTCTGTCCTCTGGGTTACTGAGTCAGTATCAAGGCAAGAGCAATGGTTGTTGTTACTAAGGAGAATGAACTAAAAGTAACAGTGAAGAGAAGGGGAAATATCTACCCTATCCTTAGTGGCCCATTAATTCAAAAGTTTACGAATAAAAATAGCCACCACTCATCAAGGTTTTAGGGAGAAAAACCAGCATCATCAGAGGAGGGCCAGGTTTTGGATAGAGCAGTGTTTCCCAAAGTAGGTGATACCACCCCTAGGGGGCGCTGGAACAATCAAAAAATAAAAACAAATTCACTGCAGTTGTAGATGTTGACTCAACGACCCTAAAGGACATGGTAGGGCTGCCCTCTGAGTTTCTGAGGCTAACTCTGAGTAGAAAGCCCCGTCTTTCTCCTGCACAGCGGCTAACAGTTTCGAACTACTGACCTTGCAGTTAGCAGCCCAATGTGTAAGGAACAAAGGGAAGGAGGGTGCTACAAAAGCAGGCACGCTTTATCCTGGATTATGGGCTATGGTATGAAAGTTTTTCATTGCCAGGAGACACTGAGTAATTTTTTTCTGAAAAGGGGCCAGTAGGCAAAATTTGAGAACCCATGGGTTAGAGCAAGAAGTGGATGGGAACTTTCACAGTCAGTAGAGATGGAAGATATCAAAAAACCACAGGGGCAGATGGAAGCTTCTGATCTTGACACATTTACCTTATGTGTGGCAAAGAAGTGGTTTTTGCACAAATGCAAGCGAGCAAAAACAAGAATGAGGGGGTGGGGTACCCTAAAGAAACACACATAGAACAGTTCCTTTCCTCTACTTTTCAAAATATTTCATCAAGGTCCTTAATATTTTGGTGCTATCCAGATGATACTGTGTATTCTTTTCTATTCCTTGTTCTATATTCAAAACTGCAACACTTTCTATGTTCCCAAGGCTGTCCCAGCACACATGATAATTCCTGATACACATTAGAGTTCTATACTCAGGACTTTACTGACTCCCTGAACATTTCTCAGTTTCTAAAAAGTAGAGAAAAGCAATACTTAGGGGGAGAAAAAATAAACAATTCTCTGCCACACTATGAAACAAAATCCTCTATACTAAACTTACTTTTAAAAAGTCTTTCATTTCTCTAAACATTTGTTTTTGTACAACCCAGGAGCTAATCATGGTCTTTGATGGGTTAAAAAAAATCAAAAGAACACAAGAGAAAAAATATAAAACTTAAATTTCAGGATCCATCAATATTTTTTTTAGCACAGCCATTCTCATTTGTTTGCATTGTCTGTCTGCTCTACGCCCAACAGTGTTGAGTGGTTGTAACAGAAACCACATGACCCCCAAAACCCACATGTTTGCTCTCTGGCCTTTAAACAAAATGTTTCAGACTCCTTGCTCTAGGGATTCCGATTTCCTGCCCAATTTGAGCGGAAAAAGTAAAGCACACCTGCCATGCCCCGTCCAGAGTAAACCACTTTACCTGTGTTATTCTAAATTGTGAGCGTCGCGAGAAGTACGGGATTGCTTCTTAATCTAGCTGGCTCACTTCTAATATTAAAACAAACAAAGTATTTAATAAATCAGTTTAGGACTTGAATATGCAAGCAGCTATTCTCAGAACACGAATGGATATTTTACTGAGAAACAGTAACAGAGAGAAGTGTTTCACTTTAATGCCGGGAAAGCTGATCCCACTTACTTCACACCTAAGCAAACATAACTAAATTATCCCACCAAGAAGTGAGAGAAAACCTGGCAAGCTATGGACAGCGGACAGATTCAGGGAGAAGCATGATACCTGAGGAAGTTGAATCAGTGAGCCGACTACGAAGAACTGAACGCTGTGCTAAAGAACAAATTGCTCTGATTAAGATTTGAAAGTGATTGATCTGATCAGCCAGGGAAAATGCTTGTGTATTAGAAGACAAGACATAAATAATGCTACCTACACACTCCTCACAGTGAGAGTTTAAGAAACCTAATGAAAATATAAAAAGTAGTAAGCTGAGAGAACAAATCATAACAATAAACAGACATGTTAACAACTGGAGGTAGGGTGTCTTTGGAAGAATTAAATATGTAGAAATAGTTCAGAAAAATAGAGTATACAAGTACTCACTCAATGCAAGAACATTTTGTTCTAATAACCTGGCATTCCGTGATGCTCACCGTCCAGACACGATCGCTGAAGACAAAATGGGTGCATAGCAAATGTGGTGAAGAAAGCTGATGGTACCCAGCTACCAAAAGATATAGTATCTGGGGTCTTAAAGGTTTGAAGATAAACAAGTGGCCATCTAGCTGAGAAGCAACAAAGTCCACATGGAAGAAGTACTGTACACCAGCCTGTGTGATCATGAGGTGTTGATGGAATCAGGTATTAGGCATCAAAGAACAAAAAATCATATCAATATGAATGAGGGGGAGAGCGGAGTGGAGACTGAAAGTCCATCTGTAGACAATTGGACATCCCCCTACAGAAGGGTCACAAAGAAGACACAAGCCAGTCAGAGTACAGTATAGCACTGATGAAACATACAACTTTCCTCTAGTTCTTTAACGCTTCCTCCCCAACACTATCATGATCCCAATTCTACCTTACAAAGCTAGACCAGACACTGGTATAAATAGGAACTGGAAACACAGGGAATCCTGGACAGATAAACCCCTCAGGACCAATAATGAGAGTAGCAATACTAGGAGGGAAAGGGGAAGGTGGGGGGAGAAAGGGGCAACCAATCACAATGACCTACATATAATCCCCTCCCTGGGGGACGGACAATAGAAAAGTGGGTAAAGGGAGACATCGGTTAGTGTAAGACATAAAAAAATAATAACAATTTATAAATTATCAAGGGTTCGCGAGGGAGGGAGAAAAAATGAGGAGCTGATACCAAGGGCTCAAGAAGAAAGAAAAAGTTTTGAAAATGATGATGGCAACAAATGTACAAATGTGCTTGGCACAATGGATGTACATATGGATTGTGATAAGAGCTGCACAGGCCCCCAATAAATGATTTTTTTAAAATAGAGTATCATCACCAGAAGCACAGCTCTGAGTAGACAAACCAAGCTCAGTGCTGCCTCTGGCACTCTCTCTGAGCAGGCATCCTCTTTCTGCCTCAATTTCAACTGTAATACAACAAACTCAACTCACTGCCATCGAGTCAATGCTGACTCACAGTGACCCCTTGTGCATTGTCAAGACTATAACTGTTTACCGGAATAGAAAGCCCAGTCTTTCTCCCATGGAGCTGCTGGTGGTTTTGAACAGCGAACCATGGATATGGATCACAGCCCAATGAATAACCACTACAACCACCAGGACTCCCAAGTGAAACAATAGTAATTACGTTTCTTCATCTGGAAAACAATAGTTAAGTACCTCCCTGGGCTGTTGTGTGGATTGAATAAAATAATGCATATAAAGGGCTTTAGCATGGTAGCTTACATAAATAAAATGCTTAACAAATGGCAACTATTACTATGGCTACTATATTTAGCTTGGGAAAAAATGCACTGGGAATCGTCTACAAGGAACTCTACAATATTTACCCAGAGACTGAAACAAACACCTAACAGAATATAATTTTAGAGAAGTTATTCCCTTGGAAAAATCAATAGAGGGGATCAGTTTAATAAATGGAATTAGTTTCCTGCTCTTGCCACTAAGAATGTCAAGTGGAAAGGAAGATTGGTCGCGGGACTATCCCCAAATTCTAATAAGTAGCAAGTGTTTACTACATAGGGGCCTATACAAACCCATCAGTATTGTATCCTGAAATCAAAAGAAGTAAAAATAACTCCTCTAAGAGTCTCCACTCTGATTCCCAATACATACATTCATCGAACCCCTCCAGACCACCAAAACCAACCAACCAAAAAAACCTTAATAAAAACATTCAAAGCGTATCTGCACAGCAGTCAGGATCTTATCAGATAAAAAATGCTCATCAATGTTACGTCTAGGAACCCGAGGTCAGGTGCTTGAGGGCTTTGCTTCTCTAGCAAAATGGACACCAGCCTAGCCCAACAGTGAAATGTGAGGTGAGCCTTTCCTGTATAGATTGGCATTCTTTCACACACGCGCGCAGAGTCCACCGCGGTCCTCGCCCACGTCCCACCCCCAGCGAAAGCAGACTGCGGCTTCGGGGGTCTCAACCTGCCCTGGGTTTCCCCGAGACGTGAAGTTTGCGCTGCCCAGAAGGATCGCCTGGTTCTCCTCAACGGGAAACCAACAGTAAAAAACGGTAACGATTCCAACTCGGCAACGTGTTACTCTAGCCGAGCGCAGGACAGAAGCCGATCGCTTCCAGAAGACACCGCCCCGCCAAGGAGCGGGGCTCACAGTGGCCCGCGGTCCCCGGGCAGGAGTCGTCTACACCTGTCACCACGTACGGGCGGGCGGAAGGAAGAAACCCCAGGAGAACTGTTTCCGAGACACCGGGGTACATTCTCGGATCGCACTCACCCCAATCTTCCTCTGGCCTGTGAGAGAGGCGATGCCCCGGGCGACAGGGGGACCCCATGGTGCCGGCGACCGCAGTCCTCGGCTCCGGAATACACGTTTCCTTCCCAGGAACTCCGTGACTGACAACGAGTACGGTGGCCACGGGCGGACAAAATGCTCGGCAACGCTGTGGGACGGTGGCCGAAAAGGGACAAGACACGCGTGTGAACGCCAGCAAAGGGAACGTCCGCGGCTGAGCCAGTTGAAACTAGTCTCTGAGCAAATATTTCCTTTTGGGGTTTTGAGTACTTTCTGTACCGTTCTTTTAAGGGGAAAAATAGAGACACTTCACGAACAGCTTTAGCTTAAATTTTTTTATTGATCTATCTAAAAATTAAAAGTAAAACCGTTTTTGAACATTTTATCTGTTCCGTAGACGTGCTTCGTAATGCCACAGGCTGTCACAAAAGTAACAAAATTCGAGAATAACGGTAAATTTGATTTAATTTTTACGACTAATCCATAACGCAAAATTCTCCATATTTACAAGTCTGTATAAAAGAAAAACATGATCCGTTTTTCCATGTTCGTTAAAATCGGAATAATATCTGGGATAAACTAATGATGTTTCTAGAAAATCTACTTCAAATATTTTAAACAAAGCTAGTATAAAAGATAACAAGCTCCTTATACCCCGGGTGCATTTTTAAAACGTAGTACTTAGTATGAAAAACCTACAACAATATAAACTCCCAATCTTCTTATCGCTAAAATGTAAGATTCCACGTACGAGGAACAAGCCAATTGGTTCAGAAATCCAAATCCAAGAAATGAAAATGTGGGCAGAGCTTGATAAAAGAGTTTCAAGAACACTAGGAGTACGGACAAGGAGGACGCCGTCCTCGGTGGGTCTTTCAAGCACGGTGCTATGGCAACAGAAAGACGCGTAACTCTCTAGCGCCTGGAGGCTACCCCGCCCATGGTTACTACACACAACAGAAATGCTTCCCAGAATTCTCCACACTCCTTGTGGCTAGATTACAACAAATTACATAATCCCCAGGATCCCAACAGGCCTGGGACTGAGCCCAGAAAAACCGTCAACAAATGCCCTTCTATTAAAGTGGCTCCTTCTCATCAGATAACCAACAATCATTTTAAATGGAATTTTGTAAAACTTTCTCACATAGTAAGAAATTGAAAAATGGACAGAAAAACCAAAAATATCTAATTCTATATTCGCCACACACCTTAGTTTATTAGGAGAATCACCACGACTGAACTCGTTAATGAGTTTTCCTTTTTCATTGTTGTTTTTAATTCAGAAATTGCATTCATAATCAGCTGGATGGCAGCAGGTGGGTGTGTTTAAGGAGCCCTGGTCCTCCGCAGTTCATTCTCAGGGCTAGCTGATAGGAGATTCTCAGGAGAAAAATTTAGCAATTTGCTCCTTAAAGATTAAACCCAAATCAAACGCGTGGCCTTCAGTTTGATTCTGACTCATTGTGCCCATAGGTTCTCCAAGTTCTTTATGGAAGCAGTGGGTCCCAGCCAAGCTCGTTAAGCACTGTGCCATCAGAGTACCTTCTGTAAAGATTCCCAACAAACTCCCCACTCCACCCCCACTCTTCCCCATACCCCCCAAAATTCAATGACATGTAATTGATTCCGAGTCATAGGGGCCCTATAGGACAGAGTAGAAGTGCCCCCTTGGGTTTCTGGGTCTTTAAATCTGTAAAATGTACAGCCTAGAAAACCCTATAAGGCGGACCAACAGTTCTGGGAGGACATGGGAGAAGGGGGAGGTGGGGGGAAAGGAAGTGGTGTTAACAAGCCCAGGGACAAGGGAACAACAAGTGATCCAAATCAGTGGTGAGGAGGGTGTAGACCGCCTGGTAGGGCGTGACCAAGGGTAATGTAACCAAGAGGAATTACTGAAATCCAAATGAAGGCTGAACATGATAGTGGGACAAGAGAAAAGTAAAAGGAAATAAAGGAGAGAGGTAGGAGGGAAAGGACATTTATAGAGGTCTAAATAAAGGCATGTACATATGTAAATATATTTTTATATGAGGATGGGGAAATAGATCTATGTGCATATATGTATAGGTTTAGTATTAAGGTAGCAGATGGACATTGGGCCTCCACTCAAGTACTCCCTCGATACATGAATACTTTGTTCTATTAAACTGGCATTCCATGATGCTCACTTTCCCAACACGATCACTGAAGACAAAGCGGGTGCATAAGCAAATGTGGTGAAGAAAGCTGATGGTGCCCAGCTATCAAAAGATAAAGTGTCTTGGGTCTTAAAGGCTTGAAGATAAACAAGCAGCCATCTACCCTGTTTCCCCAAAAGTAAGACATCCCCTGAAAATAAGACCTACTTACCGTTTTGCCTCTCCCTGGTATATGACATCCCCCCAGAAATAAGACCTCCCCTAAAAGAAGCTACAGTCTCTTTTAATAAAACAATAAACAATAAATGTGAACTGTATTCTTCTTCATGGAAAAATAAGACATCCCCTGAAAATAAGACCTAGCACATTTTGGGGAGCAAAAATTAATATAAGACATTGTCTTATTTTCAGGGAAACAGGGTAGCTCAGAAGCAACAAAGCCGACATGGTAGAAGCACACAAGCCTGTGTGATCACAAGGTGTCGAAGGGATCAGGTATCAGACACCATCAGAACAAAAAAATCATATCATTGTGAATGAGGGGGAGTGCAGTGTAGGGACCCAAAGCCCACCTGTAGGCAATTGGACAACCCCTTATGGAAGTGTTGTGGGGAGGAGATGAGCCAGTCAGGGTGCAATGTAGCAACAATGAAACATACAACTTTCCTCTACTTCTTAAATGCTTCCTTCCCCTGTACACTCCCTATTTCCCCCCCCCACACACACACACACACACTACCAGGGGATATACACTGGTACAGATAGGAACTGGGAACACAGTGAATCCCAGGGCAGATGATCCCTTCAGGACCAGTGGTGAGAGTGATGATACCAGGAGGGTGGAGGAAGGGTAGGTTGGAAAGGGAGAACCGATTATAAGGATCTACATATAACATTCTCCCTGGGGGACAGACAACAGAAAAGTGGGTGAAGAGAGATGTCGGACA